CTGGCTGGGTTACCAACAAGATCTGTGGCCATGCATGAAACAAAGCCAACTGACCCATAAAGGGTTCAATCCCATGATCCTGATCTCAATAGCAAGGCTCCAACCAACTGAGCTAATTACAGTGGAGTCAAATTCGACTCTACTTATACCAAGATACTCTTAGCAATTCATACAACATTCTTAAACAGCATTGTCCTAAGATGCTATGACACGACACACTTGCCAAGTTTACTAATGATCTCATCTTTTAAAAATCTTAATGTAATGTAGCAAACAGATGTGTCCCTTAAGAGGATTAAGGTGGAAATTCATTAGTGCAATAATACCAGTGGATTTGTGTTCTAAAACTAACACCAATCAATCAACTTAGTGCACACCCTGTCTTAGCACTACTTAGCTTCTAGAGGCAACATAGAGAATGGGGCAGCTGGGTCTTCATCCTCAAGGAAGCTATCTGCAAACATAAGAAACAGTGAAAAACCCTGAACTGAGTGACTTAGCTACATCACCTGTAATAGGTGCTGCTCAGACTATAGCGTGCACAGGTATCACCAAAGCATCTTGGTAAAATGCATGTTCTGATTCAGCAGGTCAAGGGAGGTCAGAGAGTGTGCAGTTCTAATAAAGGCCCAGATGATGCCCAACCCACACTCCATATAGCAGGAAGATCTAATCCTCACTGTCATGGGTTAGTTTACAGACGGGATAGCGGAGGCAACAAGGCAACCACCAAAACAAAGGTAGTGAGAAAGGAACAATCAGGGAACATTCAAGTCTTATCCAATGAGGATGCATGCTGGAATGTGGACAGCTGCCTGGAAGAAGAACATTTAAGACACAAAAGTAGAGTCATTAAGAGCTTAGATCTGATGTCAGAAGCCAACTCTGCAACTTCAAACTGTGTGACCAAGTGGCTTCCTTCCAGTCTTGGTCTCTCTTGGTATGACATGCAATATCACCAGTACCTGGCCCAGGGATGGTTATGGGATTGGTGAGTAGACACATGTCTAGAATAGTCCCTGACTCAGACAAATGCCTAGGACACAGTAGCTATTATAACTAGTCTCTCTAACCTACAGCAGGCAATGAAACATTTTCTGAATTAAATTACAACATCATTTTTAAAACGTACCGTTTTGACATGTATGCTAATAGTCATCACTTTGTAAAAAAAAAAAAAAATCTACAATTCTACAATTCCAGTTTTGTCCATCAAAGAGGAAAAAAGATAATCCTTGGATCCTTGGATCCTTAAATTCCTTTAGCATCAGACAATCCAAAACACATTTTATGCTTTAAAATGCCCATTATGCTATTAATTCTGCTGCTTTTTTTAAAAAAAAAGTTTTTTTAAATTAGAAGTCCTATAATTACAACTTTTCTTTAAAATCATTAAGACAGAAATAAACACCTAATTATGCATCATTTGAAGACAAAAACAAAAGGCTTCACTAACTGCAGCCAAAACATAACCACCAAAATGAACATCTCTCCTGTTTTGACCATTTTTATACCAAACTAATGATTTATTTAATCATCTTGCCTGGAACTACTATGAAAAGCTGGTAGGGGTTTTTTGTTCTTTGGTTGGTTTGATTCTGTTTGTTTCCCCAGCTCTGTCAGCTGGTGGGGCCGGGGTGGGGGGTAGGAAGGAGATAAAGCATAATAAGTATAATATATTGTTTTTGTCCAAGACAATAGTTTTGTTTAATGAATAATTTCTAATGAAATCAGCAGAGATCAGTAAAATTAATAGATCATTAGTTAAGATGTCCAGGCTCAAGCTTCAGCCAGAAAGGTCTTAGAGGTTGTCCCGTTCAACGGTTCCCAGGACAAGAGAATCCCTATGCCAGCTTTAAAAATTGAGTTCCTCTGGGGTAGCTTTTTCCAGGTTGGTTACCTGTGTGTGTGAAAACTCATCCAGCCACACACTAATGCACTGCACTTTTCTGTGAGGATTGGGGGAATCTACTTCAATCATAAGTTACTCCCTCAGAGATTTGAACATGCAGGACAGCTGAGAACACTGGGAGTGTGTGCACGTTCCATGCTCATGCTGTCCCCTTTCCACCACCCAGAGTGCCCTCCCCCCGCCCAAAGCAACTCCCCATCTTGCCAAGGTCAAAGTCGGTGGATCTAGGATAAGTGTTCTCTGTAGCCCCAGAGAGCTTACTTGTGGCAGGCCCCTGGAATAACAGCTAGTCCACTCTCATCATAAGCTAATTCACAGAAGTGCTGGTAATATAAGTTCCCACCTCTGACTATGAACTCTACCAGACCAGGAATTCTTCAAGCTCTTACTCATGCTTCTAACATTCACCTGCCCTCAGGCCAAAAGATGCCAGGCACACAAAGGTGATTGGGTGAACAGCCCAAGGTAATGGATCTGAAGACCCAGAAGGTACAGTTTCTGCCTACGGCCAGACAGCTGGTCCTGGGAGTGCAGAGTCTAACAAGGGTTTGCCTGGTTAGACTCTTTAGCTCCCTACTCTAAGCAGAGAAACTAGGTCATTTAAGTGAATTTCCTCATCTCTAAGGTAGAGAAAACAAAAGTCCCTACTTCTTGGAGCTGTGTAGTATTAAATGAGATCAGGCACTGAGAGCCCCAGTGGAGCGCATGCAGGGATGACAAGTGCTTAAAACTCACTATCTCTTTGTACCATAGGTGGATCATCCAATTTTAAGATTTCTGTTGGAGCCAGGGACAGTGGTGCACGCCTATATCCCAGCAACTTGGGAGTCTGAGACAAGAGGATTGCAAATTCAAAGCCAGCCTCAGCAACTTAGTAAGACCCAGTCTCAAAGTAAAAAATAAAAATAAAAGCACCTCTGAGTTTAATCCCCTGTATCAAAAAATAAAAAATAAAATAGAGGGGCTGGGGCTGGGACTCAGAGGCAGAGCACTCGCCTGGCATGCGTGAGGCACTGGGTTC